CATGGTTTCCTTGCTGGCTTTGGAAGTCCTTTGAAGATGATTTTTGGAGGGGAGGTACTAGGGCTTGAACCTAGGGTGTCAATCATTCAGATTTTTGCTCAGGGCTGGCCCTCTGCCACTTGAGCTATGCCTCCAGTTTCTGAAGATGAATTTTTAAGTAACCCTGCAACATGTAAATATTAACATAGTCTCTCTACTCTTGCTTTCTTTCACAGAACTTCTGGGAGAGATGAGATACTTACAGACTGACAGTCCCTCCTAGAAAAACTGAATTAGACTCTACCTAAGTGTCTTAAATACTGGTATAAGGCTTCTACTTCTGTTTCTAGAATCTTCTGACAAGATGAATATACATACCCTCTTCAGTAGGGAGAAACACCTCTGAATTTGTCTCTACTGCTCTCACAAATATTCTCTGATAGAACATATAAACTAAACACTCATTTTTTCTTCTGTCATATATGAATAGATCTTGCATAGAATTTCACAACTGCTCAGAAGAAAAAGTCCAGCAGTTCACTTCCTATTTCAATCTAAAGGATATGCTAAGTGAGCTAGTTGCCACTGTGATCCCAAGACCACAGTAAACCACAGAAGAACTAATCCCAGGGAAGGCTGTGAACAGAGAGATTCTGTCCCTGAGAGCCCATTCCCCACCTGTCCTAGAGCACAGCTGGCATTTATGCTACAGGGTGTTCCTCCAGTCATGCTTCTTCCAAGTTACTTTGAGTTGTAGACAGTTAACTTACCCACAGCTTTAAGCCAAATCGTTTGATTTGGTGTAGCCAAGCTCTAAGGCTAGGTAAAGAGCCAAATCAAAATGGAAGAATTGATTTCTACTTTTCTTATTTGTCTTTCTGTAACTTTAGTCACCTCTCTTTTCCTAGTTTCTACTTGCTGGAAAATTTATCATTAAATACATTAATAAGTCAAAATTGTTCATATTTATGAGAGGTCATTAGTCAAATATTAGTGGTACAAAATAATGTATGTGGAGGAGTATGACATTATGACATTTTCACATGACTTTGATGTGCTTTTTTTCTCTACTACCCTTTTTTTGCCCCTTCCCCTTTCTACTGATTGTTTCCTTCTTTTTTTAATTAATGTGCTTGTGCTTGGGTTTTACCCCAAGGCCTAGGTTCAGCCCCTGAGCTTTATAGTTCAAGGCTAGTACTCTACCATATGACCCAAAGCTCGACTTTCAATTTTTTTTTTGGTGATAAGAGTGTCATAGACTTTCCTGTCCAGGCTAACTTCAAACTATGATCCTCAGATCTCCACCTCCTGAGCTATGATTACAAACATGAGCCAGCAGCACCTAGCTAGCATCCCTTCTGTTTTAATGTGTTCTTTTTGTTATCTAGATTCCCCATGTGAGAGAAAATATCAGTTGTCTTTCTGAGTCTGGCTTATTTGATGTAACATAGCTATCTTTAGTTCCATCTATTATCCTGAAAATGACATAATTTCATTTTTATTTATGTATAATACTTCATTTCATGTGTGCATCTGTAATATTTTCTTCATTCATTCATCAGTTAATGAGCCTAGGTTTATTCATAGAATACCTTTTAGTATCACTAATTGCAGCTCAAATTACTAATGAAAATTTGTGTTATATCTGGTAAATCAGTAGAGAAAAGAAAGATAAGCAAAAATAACAAAAGAAAGAAACGTTTGAATATCTTTTATTTTTTAATTGACAGTGATCATTCATGAACAATTAAATGTAGCATTGTAGCAGTACAATAGTGAGACTATGCCTTTGTGACTACTTTCACAGCAGAAGGTATTTATCCATTTTACTTACATCTTCAACAAACTGGCTCATCTTGATTTCTTTGTCTTCTGATGTACAGTATTTGCTTTTACTGTAAATCACTCACTTTCAGAACTATTATATTTCTTTCATACAGTTGCTGTGTGTGTGTGTGTGTGTGTGTGTGTGTGTGTGTGTGTGCACTCATGTGCACTAATACTAAGACTTGAACTAAGAGCCTAGGCACGGTCCCTTAAGACTGGTGCTCTACTATGTAAGCCACAGCTCCATCAATGGCTTTTTGCTGGTAAATTGGATAGTGTTTCACTTTCCTGCCTAGGCTGACTCAAACCACCATCCTCAGATCTCAACCTCCTGAGTAACTAAGGTTATAGGTAGTACCTCGCTCTCTTGTTGAATCTTTTGATTTGTGGATGTGTTGCTGCAATCTTTCTACATTGACCTTCACATATCATTCTTCCTGAGCACACATTGATTTCTGTGTGCAAATTTCTGCATTTTGTAAGGTCGTGGTTATGTTAAGAGGTTTCATCCTATCAACCTCTTCTTAACATATCTTATTTAGAAGTAAGATTATATTCACAAGTGTGGGGCTTAGGTTCATCAACATATTTTGAGGAAAGACAATTCTCCCTCATGGAAAATGGAGGCAATATTCTATTTTATTGGATTCAAAAGAGCTTCAGAATAAAAGTTTCTTCACCAAGAGTAGTCTTTATTTCTGTGTGGGATGAGAAAATGAACAGAGAAAGGGAATATTCATAGAAAACAATGTCTGGATTTGTTATTTTTCTTTTTTAGTATAGATGGAGAAAACTTTATTGAAATAGATAATTAAATTTTGTGTTGTGTCAAAATATATAAAAGTATAAAAAGTATCATCATGATAGGCTGGCTAGTATCAGCAGTACCAGCTAGTATCAGCTAGTAACAGCAAACATTTTGCCAAATAAATCTCTAGTGAGTTTGTGTTAGTGATAGCTCTGAAGTTTGTTATGAGAATGTATGTCATGGATTCTTTCAGGGAAAATTAAGTTCACTAAGTCCCTACTTTATTGATTACATCAATAAACCAAAGGAAAAATTATTTCCTAATATTTCCTACAACTCAGATAGATAGATAGATAGATAGTAGATAAGAAGATAGATGCATAGATAGATACATAGCTCTATATATTGATTTACACCAATACAGAATAATATAGAGATAGAAAGATAGATAGATAGATACATACATACATACATATATACATAGATAGATAGATTTATATGATTATAGAATGATAGGTAGATCGATTATCCATATAAATTATATAGCAAAAAAAATAGCAAAAAAAAAATAAATAAATAAATTATATAGCAGACAGAGAATGATGAGTACTGTTAAAACTAAAGTTTGTGTGGAAGATGCTCAATGAAAGCAAAGGTAGGAAGTTTATTTTAAAAATATAGACAAAGGAAAGTACAAATAAGTGAGCCATCATTATATTATAAATATATAATATTCTATAGACTCTAATCTTAATCCCTGTGGTCTTCCCCAAAAAGATAAGGGAAATTTATGTATCTTTTTTCGTGTCTACACTGAGGAGCAAAACTAAGAAAATGCTTTGTTTTATTTTGAAGGTGGCACGGAATATTAATTGATAAAATTATTATTTAGCATTTTTGCCCACATTATATAATTCATGAGTATTTTATTAGTGCGTATATAATAAAACAATTGGATTTTTTCAGGTCATGGAGCCTGAACTCTGGGCCTGGGTGCTGTCTCTCAGCTCTTCAGCTCAAGGCTAGCACTCTACCACTTGAGCCACAGCAGCACTTCCAGCTCTTTCTGCTTATGTGGTGCTGAGGAATCAAACCCAGGGCCTCATGCATGCAAGGCAAGCACTCTACCACTGAGCCACCTTCCGAGCCCCACGATTGGATTTGTTTATCTAAATACATTTATGGAGCCATATGGCTATGTGGAACAAACAAACCTTAAATAAGACATCTAAATTTGTATTTTATTAATGCTATGACAAAGAAATTGAAAGCCTTTTGTGTAAACAAGTTTATTCTTTCTAATGACTAGGATCCTATATAAATTAAGATGTCTAGTTTTATTTATTTGTTTTAGTCATTCAGTGTGTTTACTTGAAGATTTATAGGCACATGCTAGTTACCACAAATGAGGGAAGCCATGAACTGTAACCCCTCTGTAGATCAACTACACAAAAACAATAAAAATAAATAAACAATTTTATTCTTGGAGCCATAGTGCTGTCTGGAACTAACAAACATTAAATAAGGTATCTAAGCTTAACGATCTATGGGCATTGATTATTATTTCAACAGAATCTTTTGTATTTACACAGTCCGAGGCAAGAAAATGAAAAATGGAAGTGTACACTGCTCTTAAAAATCTATGCTTCAATTTGTGGTATCTCTGGCTATAATTTCTCTGTAAGGAGGGAATTGGCCTTCAATCTGGTGTTGCTAAGATAGCATTATTTCAAGAGGGTCCTCTGATTGTATGCAGATAATAAATATTCATTTCTGGCTCCCTTACAGGATCTGCTCTACATATTTTCCCATAGCACACTGGTGCTGATGGTGTGATTAACTGACAGGACAGCAGCATTTCATGCACAGGACTGGGACATCAGATTGTATTTCTTGAGGAATTCAAGAAGAGAATCTTGAGCTCTTCAGCTTCATTAAGAAGAAACACTGTACCCGCTGATCTATCATCAAGTCGTGTACTACAAGATCACTCAAAGTTGAGGTTCTTTGAGTTATTGGTGTCTGCCTGTTCTCAATCCTCATGGTTTTCCATCAGTTCAGAGAACCCTTTTGTATTTTCCCCCCACTTAAAAGTTTGACTACATTTCTGATCCTCATAGAAAACATAGATTTGCTTCCCCTCACAAACATTTTGGAAAATCTGAGGTGAATGGCAAGTAGTCAGGTATATAACCTCTCTTTTCATTCTTTCTTGAGTTACTAGAGAAGAAATTTTCAATTTGGTTGTCTTTAATGTATGTTTATCTAGTTGGCTCAAAGGGGAGGCCTGAGGTGAAAATGAATGCAACATTTCTACCCCTCAAGGAGAGATTTTTCTATAGATTTTTTTCTTTAGAGTACATTCTTTATCATGGAAAACCACAAAGTGTACATCGAAAGCATTGTGACATCTTGAAACACAGGTTTCTTGATTTAAAAATAATGACTATTTTTCATCATTCACTACTACCAATTTCATCCACATTTTCCTCATGGCATTTTTCATGTCCTTATTCCTGAAAGTATAAATCACGGGATTGAGCAAGGGAGTTAGGATGGTATAAAGTATGGCCACCATTTTGTCAGAGGAGAAGGCAGACAGAGGCCTTGCATATATAAATATGCATGGGACAAAGAACAAAACCACCACAGCAATGTGTGATCCACAAGTAGACAGAGCTTTCCGCCGCCCTTCAGCACTGTGAGCTCTCAGAGAAAACAAGATGATACCATAGGAGACGAGCAGCAAGGAAAAGATAATAATGCAGATAGACCCACTGTTGGCCACCACCAATAGACCGAAGACGTGAGTGTCAGTGCATGCAAGCTTCAGCAAGGGGTACAAATCACACATGAAATGATCAATGATATTGGGACCGCAGAAGGGCAGCTGGAGAGTAAAGAGAATCTGTATGATGGAATGCAGGAAGCCACCAGTCCAGGCTACCCCCACTAGAATGCCACAGAGCCTCCAGTTCATGATAGAAGAGTAGTGCAAGGGCTTGCAAATGGCCACATAGCGGTCATAGGCCATGGCGGTGAGGACAATGACTTCCACAGCAGCAAGGAAGTGCTCAGCAAAGATCTGTATCATGCAGCCTTCAAAGGAGATGGTTTTCCTCTCATAGAGGGAGTCTGCAAGCATCTTCGGTGTGATGACAGAGGAGAAACATGCATCCAGGAAGGACAGGAAGGTCAGGAAGAAGTACATGGGGGAGCCCAGCAGTGCAGGGTTGCAGACAATGGTCACCACAATGAGCATGTTGCCCCCGACTGTTGCAATGTAGACAAAGAAAAATACAACAAAGACTATTTTCTGAACTTTAGGATTCTGTGAAAGACCCAAAAGGATGAACTCAGTCACCAGGCTCTGATTTTGCATATTCCTCAAGGAAAGAGCAAAGATAAAACAGTGATCGTGTCAATCTGGAGTTATCTTAAAACTTACTTCCATGGTTTATAAGGTTTTAGGCATCATAAGTTGGTGCATCCTCATGCAGACTCATCTTCGGGATTTATTTGGCATTGAAAATATAAAGAATAGAAATATATTGAGAGTGGTACTTAGGTATCATGGAGAATGAAATTAGACATTACTTATCAACACACCAGTGTAGCCAGCTTCTCAGTACAGAGCCAGACAGAATGCACATGCATACTGGAGAAAATTATTTTTTTATTTCAAGGGTCTGCTTTGATCTGTCATTGTCAATGTGTTTCCTGAGCTCAGTTGTTGAAAAGTGTTCTGGTTATGATGAAACAAAGATTATTGTCTCTTAATTGACCTACCAACAGCATAGAATGACAGAGGAATAACACCCGCCATCAATGACAGTCAGAGGGCCTTGTTTAGCAGCAGTTGAAGAATTTAGGAATAGTTCAGAAGGCATGTGAAAATTCCATTCTTTAACTTCTATAAAACTTTGTCACACTGTGGGGGAAGAACACACAAGAGAAAAAAAATCACACGGTACATTTTAGATACATTGAAAACAATAGCAAGAAAGAAAAAACAAGTTGTGTCCCTACCTTGGAGTTCATTTTACTTAACATTATCTTATAAAGTCATATGTACATAACTTTTGACCTTTTCTGCTTGTCTTTGACTTACACTAGTTACTTAAAATAAGGGAAACCAAGGGACCTATGTTTTTTGAGCCTGGCTAACTTCACTTAATATAATTTTTTCCAAGTTTTTCCATTTCCTAACAAATGGGGCAATGTCATTCTTTCTGATGGAGGCATAGAACTTGTTTTCACTGTATTTGACATTGGTGCCCTGTATCTTGTATATACATTTTTCTAACTTGGGGAGGGGAAAGGAAATAACAAAATGCTGAAACAAGGATACAGGTTGACCCATTGGAACAATGAGATGTACAAGACACTATGTTGAAAACAAACTTTACAACTTGGGGTGGGGATTTGGGGAGGTTGGGAGGGAAGTGATAGAGGAAAGACAAAGGAGTAGATAACAATGCTCAATAAGAAATGGACTCATTACCTCACTCATGTAACTGTAACCCCTCTGTACACTAATTTTACAATAAAAAAAAGTTTGTCACAAAATAGGCTAAAATGAGCTCATTCTCTATAAAACAGAATATGACTTGGAAAAGAGTCTAGCCTTACACTTAATGCATAAGTACTTACCAAGTTTGAGATTTCAGTTAATTCATTTGTATACACTTGCTTACCACACAGTGTGCTTAGTTGTAGATTTATGGCACATTCTAGCTACCACAAATTGGGGAAACCAGGCCACCTGTTTCTCTAGAAATGCATGTTTCCACCATAACAAACGCTGGTAAGTGGTTGTGGTTGTCCTCATCTTGTCATTTATTTGCAAATGAAAAATAAGTTGTTTGATGGATTGCAATGTATAAATGGCATTTTTTGCATTCACAAATTAGAAGATTTAATATTATTAACATGGCGCGACTCTCCAAAGCTATCCAGAAAGGTAATATCCCTATCGAAACTTCAACAAGCACATAAATGGCATTTTTAATGCTTAACACTTTCAAATGTCTTTAGTAATCCCTATATATAATGTTTCTGCCCTCAGACCAACCTGCATATACTCCTATTTCAGATTGCCTCATGATTAAAAAAAAAATTAAGAAGTAGAGGTTGGGACTGGGAAGGTGGCTCAGTGGTAGAGTGCTTGCCTTGCATGCATGATAGCACCACATAAGGAGAAATAAGCTGGAAGTGGTGCTGTGGCTCAAGTGGTAGGGCACTAGCCTTGAGCAGAAGAGCTGAGGGACAGGGCTCAGGCCCAGTTCAGGCCCCACAACCGACCAAAAAAAAAAAAAGAGGTAGAGGTTGAAAAAAAAAAGCCTGTACTATTCTGATAGGCCTTATCTCTAACTTCTTAATCTGGTAGATTTTAAGGACAATACCATTGTTGAATTAGATTAAATGCCTGTTTTTCAAATAAAAGAATTTCCAAAATTAATTTTAAGAGACTATAGTGTGTTTGTGGTTTGTGATGACATGTTTTTAATTTCAGCCATTTAAAATGCAATTTTTCTGATAGTGCTGAGTTCTCATTGATTTAAACACAATACATAAAATTTTAGTCATAGTAAAGAGTTAAAAAGCTAGTCAAGAGTAACGTATCCATTAGCATACCAAAAATCCTGACAAATATACCATTGATAATCTTAGATAACAAGGTCTTATGAAGCTGTCAATGTATTATATTTAAAACATCAACTAGCCAGCTGGCTGCCAGTGGTTCACACTGTAATCCCAACTACTCAGAGGCTGAGATCTGAGGATCATGGTTTAAAGCCAGTCCTTGAGACTCTTATCTTCAATTAGTCACAAAAGAAAGCCCTGTAGAGCTGTAGCTCAAGAGGTAGAGCTCAATCCTTGCACAAAAGGAGCTACCAACAGACCTCAGGCACAGAGTTCAAGTTCCCAGGACCAGGTTTTGTAAAAAAGCATCTACTGTTTTATTTCAATTAATCTAAAATTTCTCCAAATAAAACATCAAGTAGAAAGAAAAATGTGCTTACTCTCTGCTATTGCAAAGATAGCAAACAGTTTCCTGGTCTAATAGTCATGTGTCATTAAACAAACCACCCTGTTCCCAAGCTCTCTGATTCCACAGATGTATATGTGTTTTATGTACTTGTTCTTTTAAGAATAAAACAAATACTGTAGCCATGCACTGCCGGCTCATGCCTGTAATCCTAGCAACTCAGGAGGCTCAGAGCTAAGGATCGTGGTTCAAAGCCAACCCCAAGCAGGAAAGTCTGTGAGATTCTTATGTCCAAATAGGTACCAAAAACAGTGGAAGTGGAGCTGTGGTTCAAGTGATAGAGTGCTAGCCTTGAACAAAACATCTCAGAAACAGAACCCAGGCTGTGAATTCAAGCTCAGGACCAGCATACAAAAGAAAAAAAGCAAATACTTTAAATATTGAAATCATCATTATTCTCAACAGTCTCTATATGCACAAAGATGAAAATTGAAAATGCATGCTCTAATAAGTACATCTATCCTAAAATTGCACTGTAATTGGTTCACTCAAGTAATACTTTAGGAAAACAAATCAGAAAATAATTTCAGAATCCTAAATATGCTTGTATTGTTTATACTAATAACATGAACTCTAAAAATTTATCTAAACATCAGAAGAGATGAAGACAATTTTATATTGGATGCTGATACATCAGCAATAATATTGAATAATGAAAATTGTATATGATAATATGTGTATGTAAACTTCTATCACATGCTGTTATAAGTAAAAATATACTAAAATATAAATGACCAAGTTTTTCAGAACATACTGTGATAAAGCAGAAGATCAATATTTAAATATAACTTTTTAACCTACAAGCAAACATAAAATTCGACTTTTCATTTGTAATATGTGTATCATGTTGCCATTATCAAGATACTTGAAATTAAAGGTCACAATTTAAACCTGGAACAATTTTCTTTCTCCTACATTTCATTAAAAAGATGCAGTATTTGGGAAGTGGCGCTGTAGCTCAAGTGGTAGAGCGCTCGCCTTGAGCTGAAGAGCTGAGGGACAGAGCCCAGGCAGAGTTCAAGCCCCACGACCAACAAAAAAAAAAAAAAAAGATGCAGTATTTGGACGTAATTCACAACATCTTACAATAAGAATATTAACTATTGCAAACCTTCCATAAATAGATCATATCATGGACCAAGTTCCTATTTCCCTATACTCTGATAAGAAAAATTTCACATCTATAGTCTCTTATAAGAGTGGTTTATTGTTTACATTGCTCCCAAAACATCCTATGGCCTTACTTTTTTCAACAGTCCTATCTTAGAATATGATAAAGCTATGCCTGAGATTGTTCTGAGTTCCTGGAGCCTGAACTCTGAAATGAGCTCTGCACCATCTTTTTGGTGGTAATCTTGGGGAAGTCCTTGTTTCTCCACTATCTTCCTGGACCACAGTCTCCTTTCCATTAGTTTCAGCAACAGAAATAACTTCATTCTGCAAATCACAGAATTTCTGTGACATATTTAAAATAGTCTGAGTTATCAAAGAGATTAATGGTAAGTTTAACATTGCAAAGTAGTGTTTTATGATTATATATCAAGCAATAAATTTCAGATGAATTTATATGTGCATACTGGTCACATTTACATGCCATTTATAAAAAAAGCATTTTTTAAAAACAATTTCTTTTGCCAGTCCCGGGGCTTGAAACCTGGGCCTGGGTGCTGTCCCTGAGCTTCTTTTGCTACAGGCAAGCACTCTACCACTTGAGCCACAGTGCTACTTCCAGTTTTTGTTTTTTGAGTAGTTTATTGGAGATAAGCCTTTCTTGCCCAGGCTAGCTTTGAAACACAATCCTCAGATCTCAGCCACCTTGAGTAGTGAGGATTACAGGCATGAGCCAACAGTGCCTGGCATAAATAAGTATTTTTATTAAAAGTACTATTTGTAATTATGATTTTTAAATTCTTTTAAGTTTTTGTACCTTTGGTATAGGATTATTATTCACCAGTGAAAGAATCATTCATTATCTGGCAATTGAAATACAGTCCTTTTCATGACTACTGAGTCTTCAGATCCCAAATCCTTTTCTCTCCCCTCAGTGCTATTCTACTGATTTCTCTAAACAGCTCAACTTTATACTTTGACTGCATATGAAATGTGGAGGAGAACATATCCTTTCTCTGCTTCTACTGGTGTTCTTCTAAATGAATTCTGGTATGTCTTCTTTTCTGTTGTCTTAGTAATTTTGGCTTATGATTCCAATAAAGAGCAAGTTACCACCATTAACACTTGTTTTTCTCAGAAGTGCTGGGGCAAGAATCTTGTCCTATTTATGAGAAGAAATACAGAAAATTAAGTGAACGGAAGTTAAATTAAAATAATCTACTCTGTGA